TTTTTTTTTTTTTTTTTTTCTGAGTGGCAGCTTATTTTGACCTAACGGGAAGGTTGCTGGGTGGCGCAGCAAAGGGGGCTTCTTGGAAAGTATTCTGGGCTGGGTTGTGACGTAGGCTGCCAGGGAAATCTGCCTCTCTCTGCCTCGCTGAAGTCATAAACCTGGGCATTCCCGGGGGCCGGCTTGTATTTGCCCCCTTGTCATCACCGCCGTCGTGGCTGCGAGGAGGCAGAGGTGGGAAATTAATTTCAAGGAGTTTACCAATATGAAGATTGAAAGTGAAAGGGATGCTCTGGACAGAGTTTGTTTCCTCTCTATGGTTTTTATTCACCAAAGCGTTCTAGGTCTGCCTATAGGTTCAGGTTATTTGGCAGATTTCTGTTCTACCGTTAGATGACTGATTGCAAGTCTCTGACCCCAGAGGGTACTGCAGATACAATTTATAACATAAACGTTGTCTAAAGCAAAGTCTCCAGTTAGGCTGGTATTTTTTAATACCTCCTCTGCTTACTGAAATAATAATTTTTGAGAGCCGGTAGGCAAGATCATTTATTCCTAAGACTATCTTTTTCACTGCAAGTTCAAAACTGTAAGCAAATTCAGTATTTTTTAAAATTACATTGACTATGCTTCTAAATAAAAAGGCTAACCTTAATTTTACACCATGGAACTTAAAAATTAAGTGCTGTTCTGGGACTCTGAAACACAAGACTCAGTGATGATCAGCTCGTCTGTTTCTCTCACCTTTGCTAGCCCATGAAAGCCTGAAGTCCCGCCTTGCATCCCCTCTTCTATTTTATTTCCAGATCAAATAATCAATTTTTTTCTCATTTTTCTTTCCTTCAGAGATTTCAGTCAGAGGTTCAATGCCTTGGTGGTCTTACCTTTGTTCATTTGGGACTCATACCCTCAGCTGTGAATGTCTCTGTATGTCCCTATATATGTAGTTATATTCATATAGAAGTAACTATCTTTAGATAGTTTAAGCAACCAAGCAGGCATCCCAATAAAATAAGGATGCCTGCTAATAAAATCAACAAAGGAAAGTTAGCATGACCTATCTGTAAGCAATTCCTGAATATCTGTACATTACTTGAACAATGACATATAAACCCTTACAGAAAAAGTGCTGCACGTAAGTAAAATTTCCTCCTGCTGACCAACATAAATCTGTTGTCCAACATAAATGAGAAAAGGTGATATCAACACTCTCATACAACATTCAGCTCTGAGAAACAAACACCGCCCCCCTCCTAAACCCATGAATCTGGTGGCACTTATCGCATCACAAAAGGCAGTGGAGTATTTAAGTAGACCCATAGGGTGGCAATGGTTTGTATGAGCCATGGCCAGGGCAGGGACAGCGCCTGTTGGGCGCTGAAGGCTCAGAAACAACCCAGTTGACAGAACAGGGATGCAGCCCCTGGCCTGGAGAAAGCCAGCGGCAAAGCTCCTATTGACTTCAAAAGGCCTAGGATTTCACCCAGCCAGGAATGATAAGTTATAAAGGGAAAGACTGGATTTTCATCAGGCAGTAATTGTTGGTAAGCCTTAAAAGCCCATTCTCTCATTTCTTTAACTCTTACTAATTATTTAAGAGTTTATTAATTTATGAACATTTAGCAATATCCCCACTGTTTCCTTTTTTCCTCTCTCATTGTTATCCCATACATTTGAGGTCCTCCAGTCTGCAGAGAGAGCCACAAACACTAACAGATCCCCAAACTGGGAATCTCTCCCTCATCCTCTCCCCCTTTTTGTCCATCACTTGATCTCACCATAGGTAAAAGTCATTTCAATTTAAAATTAATCACTGCTGGCAGCAGGAGCGTTCCCTCTGTAGTAACAGGATGGATGAAATTACAAGTTGGACTCTACAGTCACAAGCTAGTCAAAAATAAGCAAATATTCAAATACTTCATTAGGAATTATTCTTTCCTTGAAGCTTTAAGATTTGCTGCTCGGCTTTGCTGTCAGCCAGGGAGATTTGCTCCTGATGGTGCTGTAATCCACTGCTGCTGGTAATTAGACATCATTACTGCTGCGTTAAAGGGACAGAGAGAAGGAGAGAGGACAGGCTGGGGCTAATTAACTACTTGATTCTAATGAAAGAAAGAGAGCCTGATAGCAACTGGGAGGTTGCACCGGAACAGGCTAGATGTACAACACAGACTTAATTGAAGCAGGGGTGTCTTGCAGTCTCGCAGTAGCTGAGGCTTGGTCTACTTTCATATTCTGTGGGCAGTGGCGCATGAGGTATTATTCTGTTTTTCCCTTGCCTGGTTGGTGAGTAGCCCGAAATCACAGGCCTACCTTCAATATCAAGTTTAAGCATGCCAGCAAGGAGAATGCATAGATTATTAGGTGCTGGCTTAATCTATTTTACGGGTATGGTCTCCTCAAGAGCAACAGGAACAAATCAATTTCTGAATGTTCGCATCCCTCTGTGGCCTAGGAGATGCACTTTTGGTCACCAGGCAACAACATCCCCTGCTAAACAGCCATTTTAGGTCCAGAGTGGGACAGCACGCAGTCAGGTATTCCTATACGCAACCTGGTAAATATCTCACTTCTGCAACTTTTCAGACTGTTACTGTTACCACCGTAGGTTTTCTTTCATTAAGCCCAAGCTGCACTTTATGACAGCAGTGAAATTATGCCTAGCCTAGACGCACTGTATAAATGTGTTAGGCCAACAAATATGCCAAATGGCTGACAGTATCGACTTCTAATGGGTGGTACAATCCATAAGGAGGCACAGAACTTATATTTCTAGTACAAAATCTTTTCTAACTGTATACGTGATTTTTATGGTGGATTTTTTGGTGTGCATTTTCTGCATAGTTCTTTAACTGAAACTATTTATCAATTGGCAACTTGAAAACAAATTTCTTTTCACCACTTTTCTTTCTCTTGCTTGATGTTGTCCATAGACACAAATATGGCTCCTAAAATCAGTCTTGATTTAAGAGTAAGTTATAAAATAATGTCCCAGGCTGTATCAGTGGATTCTAAGCAGAACTTTCCTTTAAAAAAGAAGGGCCAAGATGACTGCAGGATACCTCTCAAATACAGAACTTAGATGGTATTAGCAAACTAATAGAATATAACCTCAAAGGCCAAGTTCAGATTGCTTTTATGTATTATTAATTTGGAATGACTTTAATGAAATCACAAGCCTAATAATGTATGAATTTTCCTATGTCTTCTTTTATATTTTCCAACTATAACCATAGAGCGAGCTTTCATTCAGAAACCAAATTTTGTCCTGTTTAGTTAAATCTTTAGATGCTCCAGGAGGATCTGATACCTCTTGGATTGCCACTAGCAGACCAGTGAGGCTCTCTGCAGGTGCAGGGCTGTACTACTGAACCTGATTACAGGATTTAGGGCTTAAAATTACAGGCCAGTCAGTTCTGTGGAACAGGCTGTATCCCAGCCCACCTCTTGTTCTGGCAGTGGTGAAGAACAGTAGACGGATGTATGAGTTTATAGTTCGTTTGATTTTATATAAATGACTTTGCTTATGAACAATAGAAGAAACAGATCACAGTATAAACAGCTTATATGTCAAAATCTGGTGCTTTAAATTATCTTAGGTTTTAAATTGTTCATTATTTTAGGGCATTTTATAGCAATCTGAAAATATGCAGCTTTGCTTCACTATCTTTCTCCCCATTTTTGTAGCCATCAATATAAAAAATGAATAAAAGGGTTTGTCAAATATATATTGGTAGCTCTGTAGCCTACTGAACTGCCAACACATAATGGCAGTAAGTACCACAGAAAGGTGATGCTGAGGGTGAGCTATAATTTATCCCAAGGTACAATTCTGCGGTAGCTTACGGTCCCGTTAAATGCACCTTCCAAGCTCAAAAGCGGTATTCGAGCCCTGCCGTATCCCTCCTGTTTTA